GAGCCAGGCATCCATAATTAACGATAATTTACTGCATGTTATCAAATGGCTAGAAGAGAGGAGCTTTAAATGTTCTCATCATTGGGCCAGCCCCATGGCGCACTCAGGAGAGTGCAGCGCTGGGAGCGCAGCGACGCTCCCGCCACAGGTTCGGATCCTATATAGGACTGGCCAGTGCGCTCACTGGCTGAGCCCGGTGCGGGCAACACCAAGCCAAGGGTTGCGATCCCCTTACCAGTCACAAAAAAGACAAAAATAAATAAATAAATAAATAAATGTTCTCATCACAAAGAAATGATAAATTTTTACGATGGTGAATGTGCTATCTTGATTTGATCACTACATATTGTAAACATGTACTGAAATATGACTGTGCACCACAAATATGTATAATCAATGTTTCAATGAAAAAAAATTAAATTAAAAAAAGTAATAAGCATATCTTCAGACTGATTCAATAAATACTGTTTGTTAACAAAGACTGTACAGATTGCCCGGGTTTGAATCCTGGCTCTGCCACTTACTAGCTGTGTGATCTTGGGTAACTTACCTAGCTTCTCTGTGTTCAGTTTCCTCACCTGCAAAATGGGAATAATAATATCTACGCCTCTTAGGGTTGATATACACATTAAAGAAAAGTGCATGTAAAACATCTCATCTTATTATGATTACATATGCTACCATGTTTGGGAAAAGCTCCATCTAATATAAATAATGAAGGCTCATACAATACTCACTGTGCAAATGCTGCTGTATTTGTCAGTTTATTGAATTGTCATAACTGTACAAGGTGCATGCTATTGTCACCCCTCTTTTACAGAAGCAAAAACCAAGCCCTAGAGAGACTAAGTTATGTGGGTACAGCCCCACCGCTGTAGAAAAAGTAGAAAAGTTAGGACCCAAATCCAGGTTTGTCTGACTCCAGGGCCTTTTAGGAGCCACTGGGACTGGCTGCCTCTCCAGGAATAATTCAAGGCTCTCGTAATGATGAAAAGAGGCACAGGTGACCACCGTCACTTGCCCAGAAAGTCCTGTTTTCAAAGACCTGATGGTGGAGGCATTTCCCACAATACCAGACTGTGCTCAGGAAACACTCCTTTCTTTAAAACAGGCCCAAACTTGAAGGGTGTTTGTCTCTCCCCCAAGACCCGGGTGGCTTTGGAAGGAGTTCCCCCCACTTCAGGAGAACCAGGATTAGTAACACCTGCCTCCTCCAACCCAGGGAATGATGGTCCTCCCCTGACATCTCGTCTCTCTGGTTTTGTGTCGTCCTTCTAGGGAAGCCCGTCAGAACTGCTGTGCTGAGAAAGGGGATGCTCTGTCTTTGAAGAAAGAAGAGAACGTCCCCCCAGCCGTGGGCCACCCTCGCTAGTGACTGCAAGTGGCGCTACATAGCTCATGCGGGCCTGAAGGGTGCGGGGACCCCAGCTGCTCTCCCAGGCACCTCCCAGAGGACCGGTGGGAATTGTTCATAGTGCCAAAGTCCTACTACTGCATTTTCAATGGGTCCTTGTAAATAGTTTGCTCCTCTGCCCTGGCCCCACCTCTTGCTATACTGGAACAGATTTGTACCATGTGGGTATTTTGTTACATTTTTAATCAAGGGCAACTTCCTTTTCCAGCACTACCCTTGTAAGGTTTTTTTCCCAGGAGGGAGGGCTAACCACAGTGCTTTCCTCTTTTCTTTTCTTTTTTTTTTTTTTTTTTTTTTTTGATTTTGGGGGGGGGGG